TCTCACTCTTAGGATCTTTGTGGATTTCTGTGCAGGTTGAACTCACAGAGGTTAACTTGATTTCAGCCGATTCTGTTGGCTCCCCGCCGTAGATTTTCCAGGCGACTTATCTTGAGAAATGGTGTGTGGTTGCACCCTTGTTATGTGTAGTGCGGTTGTGTGTCGTTGACTTCCACACTCGTTACAACTGATGCTCGCGTTGCAATCACGACTTATATGTGTGGTTGACTCACAGCACTTGTAGCAAACATTGTTCTGTCTTAACAGTTCCTTGCGTTCCTCGATAGATTTGGCTCGGAACGCTCGGCATTCGTTTAAATTATGCTTTGTTTTATGCAAAATGCAAAGACTTTGTTGTTCACGGCTGTCTCCAGGTTGTTGTTCAACTGCTGTCTTATGGACGTTGACTTTAGAATATGTCTGAGGTGTGAACTTTGGCGCAGCACCTTTTGTATTCGGTGTGACTTTTGACCCAAAGATGAACCCAGGATCGTTCTTCATTTTGCTAATTTCCTTGATGAAAGCAGAGAATTCTGTGAAAGGTGGAAAGGCAACTTCATATTTAGACTTGTATCTTGAAGCCCTTGTTATCAACTTTTCTTGGAGTCCGTATGGCAGTTTTTCCACAATAGGATTTATCCCGGACGAACAGTCGGAATAGGCTAGCAAACATCCCAGCTTGGGATTTTCCTTGTGATACTCTATTTCTGACAGAATATCAGACAAGTCGTAAAGAAGTGCGCTGTCTTTGTTCGTCAATGTTGGAAAGTTGACAAGTTTGTTGACGAGAGACGCCTCCAACATTTCTGGAGCACCATATCGGTCGTTCAGTCTCTCCCATAGTCTCTGTAGGCATCTTGTTGGGTTGTTTGCATTTGACGCCCTTATACTCATGGCATGTTTGGCAGACTCTGGTCCAAGCCATTTAATAAGTAGGTCTATCTGTTTTGAGTCTGAAACTTGTAATTCGTCTATGACGTTTTTAAAGCTGGCTTTCCATGTATGGAAGGATTCCGCCCGGTCATTAAAGCTTGTTAGCCGGGAGAACAATAGGTCCTTACGCAAGAGAAATCTGGTTATCTCCGATGTAGGGTTGATTTGTTGCTGGTGTTCAACAGGGATCTCTTCTATAACGCCTTGTTTTTGGTGTGAGACCGGGATCTCTTCTATAACGCCTTGTCTCTGGTATGCAACAGGGATCTCTGCTGAAACGCCCTGTTTTCCTATGCCAGTTATTGTTCCCAGATCTGGGAATACATTAACTTCTGGTGACTTAGCATGTGTAGGCAAGACCGCAGGTGTCTGTGATGGCAAGTTCAGTGCCACGGATGGCACGAACGCTGGTGATTCATGACTTAGCTCAATCTTAATTGGAATATGTTTTATCTTTTGAGGTCCTGTTACGTCCTGTATGGCAGTTGGTACAGGATGTTTATTGACGAAATCTTGCACACGCTGGAGCGGGTCTTCCGTTTCGTCGAGGAGATCGCTAAATTCTTGGCTGCCGTCGTATTCCAGGATACTAGCCTCGGCTTCTGCGGCTGCAACTTCTCTCTGTGCTTCGAGAAGGTTCAAGTTGGCCTTTAGTTCAGCCTTTTCCCGGCTTACACGTGCAGCCTCTTGTTCTAGTTGAGCTTTTCTGCGTATGGCCTCTTGTTCTAGTTGAGCTTTCCTTTGTGCTGCCTCCTGTTCCATTTGAACTTTTCTTTGTGCAGCCTCTTGTTCCATTTGAACTTTTTAGCGTAAGGCTTCTTGCTCTGCTTGAATGGCTTGTTGCTCCATTTCGGCTTTGATTTCAGTTTGTCTGAACAGAGGCTGTTCCTCTAATAATGCCTCCTGTTTAATGATCAAGGCATGTTTTTCGGCAAAGGCAAATTTTTGACTTATCAGCCTTTGCTTTGGCACGCTTCCTCCGTGCCAGGCTTGACATATCGGAGACGTTGGAGCTTCCGCTATGCGAGGTTTTCTTACCCTTAGATGTTTTTGTTTTGGTGGATTTAGCCTTTGTCAGAGCGAGACGATGCTCGTGTAGGGTTTCCATAGCCAGGTCCACTTTAGACAGTCGAATTTCTGATGACTGATTACATATGTCTATGTTCTTAAGATTTTCCGGCGTTCTGGTCTTCTTCAAAAAGTTCAGGTACTCATCTATGCGCTTGCGAGAATGAGTACAGGCTTGTACGATTCTGTCCTCTGCTGTACCAAAGGGCCTCTAGCTCCTGACAGAACTTATCACGTTTCTCTGCGAATGCTTCGTGTCCTTTTTCACGTACTCGCCTAGTCTCGGGATTTTCATCTAAATGTGTGGTATTAGACTGATTTTCTATTAGGGGACGACCATTTGATATTCTGGGGGGGGGGGGCAGGAGGATTTGTTTTGGATCGGTTATTTATTTTTGTTAACTAATAGGACAGATTATTTATTTTCTGCACTGTTGAAGCAAGATTTTTCATTTTCATTAAAACAAGGGACTGATTATTTATTTTCATAACTATATTAATAATATTTGAAAACATACAATTTTTAAATTCATTTTTTATTATAAATAATACATGTACAGTCAAGTCATTAATGTACCATTTAATCAGAATTAATCATCATCCTCTGCGGAAATGAATCTTCTGAATTCCCAACTGCATATACATGTATTGCATACATACACGGTATTAGAGTTGGGCTGTGACGTACTAGCCTCTTTTAAAAGCATTGCGAAATATATTTACGCCGAGCGGAGCGAGGCAAAAAAATTTTGAAGGGTTTTGAATGCTGCTGAAGGCCCAAAGAAACTATAGAACAAATGATGCAAAATCGTGCTTTCTGGGCGTTCCCAGACCCTTTCTTATTCTGAAAACGCAAGTTCTGTTTTAATAATTTTTTGACAATATTTTGGTCTCAAAGCAAAATGTATAGATTCAGCGTAAGACTTAAGTTTTTGTGGACAACATCAAAAGACCAATATGAAGAATAAAGTAAAAATGTAATTCACATAGTTAGGTATGTGGCTGCTGGTTTTTTTTTTTTTGTTGTTGTTTCGGCATTTAAATCTTTTATACCTGTAAATTATATGGGGTTTTATTCAAATTAAATTAAGAGGGGGCTGATTATCAGTGATATAACTATGTCAAGTAATTTTTAATAACACATTTCAATTACAACTTGATGTAGCTCTTAACTGGGATACAATTTAAAGTAGTTAAGTTGTAAAATTAGCTAACAAGTCCTAAATAAAATAAAACTCATGATCAAGTTGAAAACAAAATTAATAAATCACAAAAGGAATGCAACACTAAGAGAATACAGAAGGACAATCAATGAACAAAAGACAAATTTAAAGAAACATTGATCCCGAAAAAACAGGTGCTACGTCCAAGGGAGAACAGAACTTGCTTCTTGCAAAAACTCGCTGTGAAAACAATTTGATATGAAGACAAGCTTTTGGTTTTAAAATTTTCTACATAAAGGCATTTGCCTCAATGTAGTTACAGCCCTGGAATAAAAGTGAGGTAAGTGTTCCTGAGCCAATATACCTAAAGTTAAATGAAACCCATTTTCAGTCATTTCAAGTATATTTAAATGATATTTATACCTTTATTATTAAAAGATTTGGGAAGTGTTTCCCGAATTTTTTTTGAAAAAAAGATGAATTTTATGAAGAATCTGGTGCCACCTCATACTTTCGAATAGCATTTATAAAATGGTTTAAAGACCTGCCGAGTTATTTATTTTCAATACATTGTAAGTCAGGTTATTTATTTTCGAACTACCACAGAACAAACCATTTATTTTTGTGATTATCAAGGCTGAGTTATTTATTTTCAAAATCCTCCTGCCCCCCCCCCCCCCCCCAGAATATCAAATGGTCGTCCCCTTAGTTCTTCAGAAACATCTCCCTCTGGGGGCTGAACCTCGTCATGCTGTTCCGCGTGACTGGGATCCATGATGGCTCAACGTTGTTAGTTTGCTGCCTAGTACACACAAGTTGTGTTGTGCGCTGTCAGTGTAACACTACGTACGTTGCTACGTTGTCGTTCCTTGTCTGAATATGTAAAGACAGGTTGTCGTCAATTTATTGTACGTCAAGGGATGACGCGTTCTTGCAGGCAGGTTGTAGCTGTAGAACTGACGTGGAGTGGCGGTATCTGTGAGACACAACAGGCAAGCTGTAGACTTTTTACTTTAATGGCCTGACCATTAAGTATAACCGACGATTGGGCTCAAGCAGAAAAGACTATCAGGTGCTGATTCTTTAATTATGAACCAATCTGACATATGGTAAAAAGCTGAAATACAAAATAAAATACAAATTTACAATGTGTAGAATAAATGTTAAGATGAACGAAATGTCAAATTTAATTGATAACACACAGTCCGTTGAATGCGAGAAAATGTTGTACTTCCAAGAACGGTTAAATTTCCAGTAATTCACGGTGAAAACTTTAAAGGTTCAAATATATGAAGAGCAATTTGAAGGCTTCAGATACAATGTTATAAAATTAACTCACTCTGTGGTTAGCCACGAATTGTGTCCAAGATGACCGTCGTTTGTCCTTAGAATGTTCTCCAGTACTGGGATGACCTTGCAATTCAGTTCGAGATACGTGAAAGAAAGGGAAAAGGTAATGATTATACGATGTTTTAAAGTTCTTACAACTTCTTATACGGTTTAAAGATGAATAATCCTCCTAGACTGGAACACTTAAACAGATTAAGAATATAATCAAACGAACTACATAAATTGAGTAAAGGCGCAACAGAATAACATTCCATGGTAAACCCTATTTTATTCAGGTCGATGAAACAAAAGATGGACGTCATACTCACGAACTTTTCACGCCAAAATGGAAGCGGATTCAAATGAGGGAGTTACCAGAAATTTGAATTGATAAGATATTTAAATTTTTGTAATAATATTAAACATATTAAATTCAGTTCCGTGAATGAATAAATCAACAATATTTTTATTTGTTAATTCATTACATTAACATAAAACCTTGTCATTTTAAGATCCTGTTTATATTGATGAAGATGTCTTTTTTTAAAGTTTTATATACACGTTTGTATATAATTACTGTGGTGTTCTCTAAGTACGTTTAGTGATCTTTGAAAGAAGTACATTTGCTCTATATTCATTCTGGATTGTTACTTGGTACCTCTTCGTGCTTGTATATATGTCATCATTCGTACAAGGTAGGCAATTAAAGCTAGGACCAATACCCCTTCCACCAATAGCAATACAGCCTATCATTTCAAAATAACGTCCACCAAACATAACAAATGTCATTCATAAAGATAACAGCTGATTTTGTGAAATAAAAAAGGGGACTTTTTGTAAGAATCAGAATTGTTTTGTAAAATTCGATTTGTTTTTACATAAAACAAGATATTTGTACCTAAATGTGCAAAGGCCCTCCATTTTTCGGACTATTTTTACCCATATCAACACGAGGGATGTCTTACAATTCAGCATTCTGTAAAAAAAGTTCTTATGATTTATACAGCGGAAAAAAAAAAGAACTCGGCTAATATTTTTTCAAAGGTTTTGTAATAACTCGCTTACCCTTCCGAAGCACCTGAGATCACCAACAGTTTTTGGTGGGGTTAGTGTTGTTCAGTCTTTGGTTTTCTATGTTGTTTTGTGTACTGTTGTTTGTGTGTCTTTTTCTTTTTTTTAGGCACTTTGTCAGTTTATTTTCGACTTATGCTTCATTTAATTAATAATATAACGACACAAATGGATCGTCAGTTGTTAAATTGAAGATCGCTTCAGTTGTTTCGTGGTAGCGTGAGACCCTTGATTTCTAAAGGTCGTTGATGCGACGATCATTGGCCTGGTAAAACCATTGAATTGAAAATTGGTATTTGCTGCTTCACCGAAAAACCTGTGATATGTTGGACTGTTGCCTTGTAAATCAGTATGTCTTTTTGTTCCCCGCGTCTTGTTAGCGCTCTCACAGTTACAATTCTTTGCTAAATTTCTATAAAACTTATACTATAGGTTAATATCAGCAATATTTCGGACAAGTTCTATAATGTTGGCCGATCGACTTCTTTTAAAAGAGTTATGCCCCTTGGAAATATTAAAATTATGGAAAATGGCCTCGTTAGCGCTCTCACTGGTACAATTCTTGCCAGATTTTTATAAAAATTATTTTATAGGTTGATATCAGCAATATCTCGGACAAGTTCTATAATGAAGGCCGATCGACTTTTTTATAAGAGTTATGCCCCTTGGATATATTAAATTTATGGAAAATAGCCTCGTTAGCGCTCTCACGGGTACAATTCTTGCCAGATTTTTATAAAACTTATACTATAGGTTAATATCAGCAATATCTCGGACAAGTTCTAAAATGGTGGACGATCGAATTTTTTTTTAAAGAGTTATGCATTGATGAAAATGGCCTCGTTAGCGCTCTCACGAGAACAATGTTTGCCAGATTTTTATAAAACTTATACTATAGGTTAATATCAGCAATATCTCTGACAAGTTCTATAATGGTGGACGATCGGCTTTTTTAAAAGAGTTATGGCCCTTTGAAATATAAAATATGTGCAACGCGGGGGACATTGGAACTCTGTTCTTTTATTTTTCTAGTACAAAATAGAATTCATGTTCATATCACATTTACATCCCATGTATCGTCCCGTTATGCATGAACTATTTGCCTATATCAACACGAGGGATGTCTTACAATTGTCATCATTCGTACCAGGTAGGCAATTAAAGCTAGGAATAATACCCCTTGCACCAACAGAAATGATGCGTTTATTAAATTTAAATTCAAAATCTATTTTTGTACTGTTTTATTTCTCATGTCATGTCATAAAATCTGGTTATCTTTTATTACAGATCCTGTTTAAATAAAAGTTGTATATACAAATTATCGTTATCTCCATCATTTAAAATATTTCACATTCAGTGATCCGTGAATTTTTTTTTTCTCTATATTCATTTGAAATCATAACCTTACAAGTGTTTGTTTTTATACATTGTATGCAGGTTGTAAACCAATGAGGATATTATATAGATATATATATAGGCAACAGGTAAGTCATGAAAACTTTAAAGTTTGCATTGATTTTTTTTTAAATTTGTTAACCTTACCACCAACTGAAGCGTTACCACATCTTCTTGTTTTTATATTTAAAGATGAAGGATTTGGGAAATTTTTATCTAATGTAATATTCGTTTTATTTTCAGATGATTTCTATGTTACTATTTATCTTACTTTTTTGTTTAGTAGTTTGTTTAATTACATTTCACCCGAAATCAAAATGTCCTTCATAAAGTTCTTAAAAGGATGCTTATTAATAAAAGATTCTTAGAAGTAAAGTTTTAAATATTGAATGTTTTAGGGACACCACCATGACTTGGTTGACCATTCTTGAAACGGTAATTTTATAATATTTATGAAACATAAATGCTTCATTAGGTATCTAGAGTAATACACCTATTGCTGAACTTTTTGTAAAAGTTATTATGATTGTTTATATACCAGTGATTTGGTATTTAAATCAAGCTTGTAAAAATAATTTATCACACTAGTCAAAACAAACTCTCACTGCTTTAATTGATAAAATAAATTCGCCATTAAATTCACTTTACGATTATAATAAATGACAAGCAGCCCAAGGTAGTGATTTACATATCAAAATATCATAAAAAGTGTAAATATATCATTCTATACCACCAAAGTAGCCGTGCAATCGAAAATCCCAGAGGGGCAATACAAGTCCGAGACGACAAATAAACAAATAAAACCGCATTTGCATACAAAGAGAATAGCTTTGGCAATGTGAAGTTCAGGATTTTTAGTATGTTATTCAAAAAATAATAAATACAAGTCGCTTTCTTTAAAAAAAGAAATGCAATCGTGAACCTAAATGCATGTTTGGAATGAAAGATCAGATAATTGTTTTATAAAGATTCATAATTTCACCTCATTTCTTTTTTTATATAAGATGTAGATAAACTGACATGAATTCTTAATGAAACTGATGTTCTATGTTGGGCATAATTTTCTTGTTTAAGAAATAATTTCTCTCTCTCCCATCCCTCAGTCACTTCCGATAGATAACATTACAACATGATAGTTAAGAAGCAACCATTATATGTTAATTCCTTTCTGAGGTGCTATTTTGGGAATAGAGGTAGCTTCCTGGCTGAAGTCGAAATGTAACTGTGGAAACAGTCTTTGTTGTAAAGAAGTTTAATGAAATGTTTTGTAGCCAGTTTGAAAATAGTTCAGACCTTATTTTTTTTACTTCATATAAAAATAAGAAGATGTGGTGTGATTGCCAATGAGACAACTCTCCACAAGAGACCAAATGACACGGAAATTAACAACTATAGGTCACGGTACGGCTTTCAACAATGAGCAAAGCCCATACCGCGTAGTCAGCTATAAAAGGTCCCGAAATGACTAATGTAAAACAAATTCAAACGAGGAAACTAACGGTCTAATTTATGTACAAGTTTTAGATAAATAAAGAGTCATCACCTCAATTAACTCCAAAGAATATCACTCAGTGTCTGTAATCGTTTCATATCTATAGAATTATTTTAAGGACCCAAACGCATATATATTTATGAACTGTTTCGATATGACATATAATTTCTGAATTTAACACACATAAAAGGTGCCTTTAAATTTCGTCATAATTTCCTGGGTTGACTAGTATTTTAAAATAAGATTAAGTATAAAAAAGGAAGATGTGGTATGATTGCCATTAAGACAAATCTCCACCAGTGACCAAGAGACGTAGAAGTTAACAGCTATTGTCACCGTACGGCCTTTAACAATGAACAAACCCCAAACCGCATAGTAAGCTACAAAATGCCCCGAAATGATAAATGTAAAACAATTCATACGAGAAAACTAACTGCCTGATTTCATTGCGTTGTCCTTTATTCTAATTATTACTTTTTTTCCATTATTATTTCGATACAAATGTGGAGCCTTATTTAATATAAATAGAAATTCATTATCTTATCTCTGACTGTATCTATCATCACTCAGTCCCTATAAAAGACAATCGTTATTTTATCTCTGACCCTCAGCTGTATTAGTATTTCACTCCTGCTATTGCATAATTTATGCATAATCAACTTTTCTATTATCCGTCATCTCAGATATCAAGTCCTAAAATGTAATTATTCTTTCAGAATCATCATCATACCGCTAAAAATATTTAATAAGTTAAATGTTTATTAAAAATGAAATGTTTCGTTGTAGCATCTCATATCTGCATTTTACACATCTCAACGGTTCTTTAAGGTTCAATTTGTTGTTCTTTAATATATTGTCTTTTTATTTCAATTTGTATTATGATAATGATAAAATATATGTTGTTCCAATATTTTACCAATTAAATAATATGATTATAATAATTCTATTTTTGCTATTTTAATTAAAATAGGAACAATTTTTAAAAACTCCTTAATTAGTTCATAAACGGACTTAGCTCTTGCACATGCATGTAGTTAGTCTATTTATGTATATATATCACTAGTAACTCGAATAATTCAGCCCCCTCTATCCACTACTTTTCTCGAGGGCTTGAAGGCATAGTGACCATTGGTTAATGGAGTGATCGTAGTGATCGTAATATAACGACTGGATTATTCGGGTTAATATATATATGTACCATTCTCTGTAACTTTGTATTTAGTTTATGAGAATAAAAGATTCATTCATTCATTCATTCTTCTTTAATTTCGCTAAAATGTCTCAGTTTTAAAATCTTAAAAACGCCTAACCATTGACGGTAATTTTTTCGCTTAAAAATATATGCGACTATAATTCAGTTAACTACTGGTGTAAAATATCAATCAGTCTCGATTAACACTTATCTCTATAGCAACTGTTAGACAATTAAAGGAGGAGATATGATAAGAGCCGTTATTTGACACCTGAAATGTCAAAAATAGTAAACTTATTAAACCATTCTAAACTTGTGTTAATTTTAATGATAAATGAACCAGTTGCTTTGCTCTTTGCATTTCTATAGCAGAAAGGTCGCCTGTGGTGTCACCATGACGTTACAAACATGTCGAAATTTACGTATTTGCCTTTAAATGGACATTTCAAGCACAGCTTTTTTGACCAACAGTTTTACACATAGAGATATTTTACACGTTATTGGCTTCTTTGTAAAATATATTTTGTAGCGAAAACTCTGTGTGTGTTAAGATCACAGAGAGGCGGAAGATACCAAAGGGACATTCAAACTCATAAGTAGAAAATTAACTGATAACGCCATGGCAAAAAAAGAAAAAAAAAACCAAAAGACAAACGGTATACAAAACACAACATAGAAAACTAAAGACTGACAAACAGGACCCCCCCCCACCCCCCCCCAAAAAAAAAAAAAAAAACTGCACGAAAGGGGGAAGGGGGAGTGGTTCTCAGGTGCTCCGGAAGAGTAAGCAGATTCTGTTCCACATTTGGCAAAATAATGTTATTTTGGCAGTTTGTGATGTTTTGCACTAAATGTAAGAAGTTTGAAGCCCTGATGCTTCTATGTAAGACAATATTCAGAGACTGATCTCCTACAGACTAATGACTCGCGAAGGATTTCATTTAGTAGATATATTATACTTTATGATTTTCGAATTCAAGGTGCCTAAAGGTGGCCTTATCATTCCTTCTCCTTTCTACTGGCGACAACGACAACCATTTGACGCATTTGCGAGATTTTTTTTTAACTTGTGATAGGACCATAAATAAGTGTCGATATATTTTTTTGGAAGATACAACACCCATTTTGTATCGCAATCAGCTGCAGATCAAATTTAATGAGGCAGTAAAGGTGAACATTAAGAAGAACGCTTTACTAAACTTAGAATAGGGAATGGAAACGGGGAATACAAGGCCACCAATGGGTCTTGTCTGTAACATGGAATACCAAAACACAACAAAATAAAAAAAAAAAAAGCATAATGACAAATTGAAAGTTCTAGTATATACTAAAAAAAAGTACTTAACTTATTGACTATGAAGCCATACATGCTATTTTACACTCTGAGATTGGTCACTGTTTTTATAGTTTCCATTTACAACTTCATTGATAGTATAACATGATGTTCAATAACAAAGTCATGCGTAGTTTTATTGTTTCTTGTAAATTTTTATTTGTAGGTCTCTTTCTGTCATAAAGCCCCTAACGTTTCTACGGATATACATTCCTGACTTTCAAATGTTTGGATTTGAGCGTTGCTGATGAAGGTGAATCCAGAGGAGTGCTTCGGACGGACAGAATCTATAAGGGCTATTTTTAGATGATCTGACGCAGAATTCTTGCTAATTATGAACAATATACACAGATGTACAGCCAAAAGAATAAAATGGTTCATCGTATTTACTGTTCTGTGTAGCTTAGTTATAAGCATTCTAAATATTTTCTTCATTTGTGTCCATCACTGGTGTGCGGAACATCAATTAAGTAATTTAACATATACTAAGTATGCTGACAAGCACTGGGCAAGATTGTATGTACAAAGTGTAACGCCAAATCTTAAAACCGCTGTCGAGTATGCTGTTGTCACAAAGTCAAAAGATATATCACAAGATATTATTAGCAAATTACCAAATAAATATATATTTAAACCAAACCATATGTCTGGTGGATTAGCAATTATTGAGGGAAACAAAGTAACTAAATGTACATCAGCCTATTACAGAAATTGTCCATCGTGTAAAGGAATAGATTTGCTACAATGTTTGCAGAAGATATGCGATCTCTGGTTACAAATTGTGTTTAACCCTGGAAAAGAAAAATATTACCAGTATATACCACCTAAATGTATGTTTGAAGAGTACCTAGGCTCTAGTGGGTTTCCTATGGACTATAGGGTGTTCACATTCCATGGTAAACCCTATTTCATTCAGGTTGACGAAACAAAAGATGGACGTCATACTCACGACTTTTTCACGCCAAAATGGAAGCGGATACAAATGAGAGAGGTGCCAGAAATTTATCCCGTTAACTCTTTAGCTAAACAGCCTCCGTTCTTTCAGGAAATGTTGCGATACGCAGAAATTTTATCTCAGCCATTTATCATGATGCGTATGGATTTCTTTGCTTTTGATGACCAGTATGTTTTTGCAGAATTTACTCCATCACATCATGGCTGTAAAGGCAGATTTATTCCTTCAGTCATAGAGAATTATTATAATTTGGTTATAGACAACCCGTCTGCGTACTCGGACCCAGAAGTTGTATTACAGTTGAAATAATAGTAAATTATATATAAATGCTTTTATAAAGTAATCAAATATGCACATTCATGGCTCTATATTCTGTCGATACCTGTATCTCGGCATTGCACAAGCTCATGTTTTTCTCTGACCGATTAAGACGTTTTTACACCAAATCCATTGGATGTGGGATGTGTAATGATTGATATTTTAGTCTTAGATACATGATTTGCTTTATTAGTTGTTATTGGCTTTGAACTAGCTGTCAGTCACTGTGAGTACTCTCAAATCTGTACTTGGTGTCTTTTTTGTGGGGATATATAAGTACCCGTCCACGTCCACTCTGTGTTTTTGTTATATGAATTTCTATGTGTATCCAGCTGATGAGTTAAGCCTTTTTCAACTGATTTTTATAGTTTGCTCTTATGTTGTACTGTTACACAACTGTCCCAGGTTAGGGTGGTGGTTCGCGCCTTCAAACTTGCTTAACCCTACCGCATTCTATATGTGGCTGTCCCATGTCCGGAGCTTGTAATTGAGTGGTGGTTGTTGTTTGTTGCTGTTTATCATATTTGTTTTTGTGGTTATTGTTTTATATAGCGTGTTCTTGTGTTGTGCTGTTGCACCACTATACCAGGTAAGGGGAGGGTTTGGCGCCATCTAACTAGTTTAGCCCCGCCTCATCTGTATGTGTCTATCCCAAGCCAGGAGCCTGTAATTCAGTGGTTGTCGTATGTGTAACATATTTGTTTTTCGTTCATTATTTTTTACATAAATTAGGCCGTTAGTTTTCTTGTTTGAATTGTTTTAAGTGTGTAATTTCGGGGCCTTTTTTTAGCTTACTATGCGATATGGGCTTTGTTGAAGGCCTTACAGTAACCTATAGTTATTGATATCTGTGTCATTTGGTCTGTTGTGAGGAGTGTCTCATTGGCAATCATACCACATCTTCTTATTTTTATAAAGTACTGACGTGCTGTTTACTCGAAAAAACCCACGATTTGGAAAATAAATAAAAAAATCTCCATATAGACTACTAGCAGTTGCCTTTTCCTATTCAAATATCAAACATTTCAAAATCATTTAAGACGTTAATATTCTAGTATTTAACATGTAATCAATTGTCTAGGTTCTGTTGGCATAGAGGGTCGAAAGGGATAACCAAAAAAAGTTAAATGTGTTTTGCACTCTTTGAAGAACACCAATTGTTGACTGAGTTATGGAAAGATGGTCATCCCTTGGCCTTTTCACGACCGGCAGCAGTCAACCTCTAACCAAAGTGAGGCGTCTGTTTGGTTTTTGGGATCTGTAAATTCGCAGTATGTCCGATCAGAACGAGAACGTTAAATCCGATGCCTCGTTGAACGTTTTGAGATCTCTGCATGTTAACATCACTTATATTAACTAAACGAGTGGCCTGAGTGTGAAATGTTGAGGGGCAAAATTTATGTCCGTATCCAACATCTGATACACACTAATTTTTCAGTGCCAGTTAAATTCCACGTCCATCATCCCTGTCGACCCCTACCCTACAGAACCTATCTCTTTTATCAATTATTAGTTGTGTGAACATGCATCAACTATTTCACACTGGACGTTAAGCAATCAACAATCAATTAAGCCAATCCACATAATTCGGTATAACGCTAAATATGTCCATATAAGTAATGTGCAATGTCAATATATTGCATATTTTTATATATATATATATATATATATTTTCTTATACTGTTTATGACGTCTTTACACTAAAACCATGTGATGTGTACTGATTAATAATTTATCTGGGATCGTTCTCATTAAAATCAGCTGTTAGTTTTCGCTTCGATACTGTAGCGTATCACAACATCGGATTTTAATGTGATTGGTCTGGGATACACGATTTTTCATTAATTGTTATTGGCTTAGAAATAGCTTACACAGTCGTAAATTTAAATAATGTTCTTATTGGTAATAACATTAATTTTGTTTTTTAAAAATTAAAATATAATTAAATATATATTGCATTATATGTACAGTTATGAGAACGTCATGCGTTTCTCAGACGGGTTGTGACCTTTTTACACTAAATCCGTTGGATGTGTACTGAATGATACTTTAGTTTGGGAAAACATGACTTATTTATTATTGTAATTGGCTTTGAACTAGCTTTCAGTATCTGCGAGTACTCTGATGTCGGTGCTATGTTTCTATTGTTGTTATGTTAGTTGTTGATTTGCATCGTACCGATCCTTTGAGATAATTCAACTGAACTGATTTTTACAATTTATTCTTATGTTGTGCTATTACACCACTCTCCCAGGTTAGGGAAGGGTTGAGCGCTCAGAAACATGTTTTAGCCCGCCAAATTCTACATGTGCCTGTCCCAAGTGAGGAGCCTGCAGTTCACTGGTTGTCGTTGGATCATGTCTGTCATATTTGTTTTTCTTAATATTTTTGTTATACATAAAGCCTTTAGTTTTCTAGTTTGAATTGTTTCCCCTTTTTTTGTCGGGATCCTTTATAGCCGACTATAGAATTTACCCATTGATGAAGGCCATACTGTTTCCTATAACTGCTTACATCCACTTAATTTGAACTGTGGTGGATAGTTGACTCATTGACAATCATACCACATCTCTTTGATTTTATTTTCAGTAAATGTGAGTACTCTCAGATCGGTTCTATGTTTCTTTGGTGTTTTTGTTAGTTGTTTGTTTTGCTTTGTATCGATCTGGTGAAACTTTTCAAGTATTTTCAATAGTTTGATCTTGTGTTGTGCTGTTACTCAACTGTCCCATGTTTGTCAGGAGAAGAGGTTAGCGACGGTAGACATTTTTATTCGCCACATGTTAAATGTACCTGTCACAAGTCAAGAGCACGCAATTTAGTGGTAGTCATTTGTTACTGTATATCATATTTTTTTCAATTACTTTACTTTTTTGTTATGTCGGGGCCTTTTATAGATGGTTATGCGGTAGGTGTTTTGCTCATTGCTGAAGTCCCTGTTGAAAATGTGTCAAAACAATGAGTTTTTTTGTATTCTAAAAGAGCTCACTCACTCATACAGGTAATATATCACTTGTTTGTCCCCTTAAATTTGAAAATCAAAAAGTATATAGATCTACTAAATAACAACTTTCAGTGGTTTATACGACTATAGTATCTCGAACATCAGTGTCTCCGTTTTTTGAGAATTCATGCAAAACATCAACTACTACCAAAATAACCTAATTTTGAGATCTTGTTATCAATATTTATATGTGAGAAAGAGCTTTACTCAAGCAGATATTTTGCTACTAAAATGTATTTTGCAATTATTTTAATTTGTGTTAAATATCTTTTTGGATATAGCTGTTGCTCATATATATTTTTACCAAAAGCTATGCGTCAATTTTCAAGTTAAGTTGTTAATTGAAGTGACATCACAAATTACATTTCTGCTGTTAAGTTTCCAGTTAAAACAATTAGGTTATTTATCAATAAAATTAACATCATTTCAAAAGGCTTGAATTAATTAACAATTTTGCAATTTCAGGGGCCAAATAAGGGCTCTTATTATACCTTCTTCTTTTTTGTTGTTGTTGAGAATTTGGGGTTGATTTCAGAGATATTGTTTGTCTCAGCCGGCAATGCCATACAATTTTTCGTTTCGCTAATTCATTAGTAATTTTGAAAGATTTCTCGTTTGGCTTACACGTATAATTAGTGTCGTTGGGTATCCGTGTCATTGACGGTTTCCCCTGCAATATTTAATCAATATCAATAATACCCATGAGGTCCTATATTTGCCCTATAATATATTGTTCGTTAATCAAAATTCAAAATCTGCTTACCTGTTAATATTTGCAAGACATAATTGTGCTAATTGATATAAGCAATTTCCAGCTCAACAATAACATTAACGGTTCCAAATTTACAGTACCAGATGCGCATTTTGACAAAAAAACTCTCTTCAGTGATTGTCGAGACCAAAATAATTCTGAAAATCTAAAAGTTATTTAAACAATAAAGAGATTATAAACCAAAAAAGACAAAACGTATAGCCAAAGTAGGACAAGGGATAAGAACTTCCAGGTAGAGGTGTTGCTCATTGTTAAATTCTGTACAGTGACCTTTGCATAGTAGTTGCTCACATAAACCGTGAATCACTAGAAATCATTCCACATCTCTTTATTTGTTATATTTATCATATTTTAAAAATCCTTGACTTCACATTGCCCAAACTAGTCTCAATTTATGTAAATAAAGGAAACAGTAGTATACCGCTGCAGCCGGTTGTACGAACGTGGCATTAGCCTAATGGGTCATTAAATCTTCATTAAGCCTTTATGATGCATTAAGCTAATAAAGATTTAATGACTCATTAGACTAATGACACGTTCGTACAACCAGCTGCTGTTCAATAGTCTTTGCGCGAAAACAAATCCGGGTTACAAACTAAAACCGAGGGAAACACATCAACTATAAGAGGAAAACAACGGAACAACAGAAACACTGAACAAACGCAAACAAACATAGAAACAGACTATTTGATAACAACTGCCATATTCCTGACTTGGTATAGGACATTTTAAGTAAAAAATGGTAGGTCGATCCTGGTTTTATGGCTAGCCAAAACCTCCCGCTTATATGGCAATTTTAAAATGTAAGCGTTGTTTTATTTGTTCATTTATCGTCTCGGCCTTACATTACCACTACGGAATTATCTTATTTAAATTGATACTTGTGTTTAAATAGTTTTTTTCGTGCCTTATGATAAAGGTGTATTGCTTATTCTAGAGGGAAAAAAAATTATAACAAAAATAATGTATTGCAATGCAAGTTAAAAAAGGGGAAGTCCATAAAAACTGACAAAAGCAAACGCTATCAATCAACGGAACAGGTGAAAAAAAAAACAACTGCCATATTCCTGTCTTAGTGTAGGCATTTTCAGAATAAAATGGTGTGTTAAACCTGGTTTTATTACTAGCTAAACAGTTGGAAAGCAGGTCACGGTTTGACCCCAAGTCTAACAGCAACAATAGAGTCACGTGACCGTGAAAATTCAGTAAAACTACGGTTGAGACAAACCTCACTTTTACTCACTAAAATACCACTGTCATAGTAAAAACTTATTGATCAAAATAATCTTGAATATACATAGTTTTAACTCGTCAAAACTTACACATCAACTCAAAGTCCTTTATTCTTTATTTTATCTTCAAACTTGAAGTTTGTGTGAAAATTGTCAAGGCTCCTGATCGAAAAATGTAAAT